TTGTGAAACCAGTAGTTAACATGGAGTCTAACTGAAATCCCTTGCTATCAGTAGGGATTCCCATCAACGCGTTGATATCAATAAAAGGGACAAACTATATATAACCCGCCAAAACATAAAAGCCTTAGCAACGCTGAAAAAATAGACTATAAACAACCACAGATATTCTGTGTGAGATTCGCTTTTGTACATTTATGTGAATCTTTGGCCAATCAAGGTAACATGTATAGCCCAGTACTAATGCAGGCGCTGCTCATTGACGAAGCCGGCAAAATGTGTGGGAATGTATTCGGTCGGAGTCCCGGCGCTGTAAGAACATGTGGCACCACCGTCATCGTGGTCACGGAACGGCGAACCGAGGACTTGTTTGCCGAATTAAACAGTCTTTCCTACGCGGCAATACTCCTTCCGTTTCCGGTGAGACCACATCATGAACTCCTCCCGACCAACTTTACCTTTGATATGGATGGTCATGCCATAATATTTCATTTAGGAATTCTTCGAAACCCAGTTTTTCTTCATATCTTCCAATTTTAAATTTGTTTGCGGATCTTTTTAGTCACAGAAAGAAATAGTATGAAGACCGACCTACTCGTCTAGCCAATTGGTCTAACCGAATTTTGGCAAAGGTTATCCTGGGCAGCCTAAATTTGCCCTATTTATCATTTTAAAAGGCTGAGGCTACATATATTCATGGGCCAATATAATGCTAACTAAATAGAAAACATTTGCTCAGCTTAAATAACTGGAATATATTCAAACCGCAGCCCTTTTGAAGTTAAGCCCTTGATAAGGCTTCTTATCTGTACATTTTGGTGTTATTTCACAGAGGCTTGACTCCAAGTTTGGCGGACGTGAAATACCTTGAAACAGCCAAGCGCCTTGAACTCTATGGCGTTGACTTGCACCCTGCCCGGGACATGGAGAATGTTGAGATCTACCTGGGCGTTGGCTTCAATGGATTCGTCATATACCGAGACCGTCTAAGGATTGGTCGATTCGCCTGGCCAAAGGTGTTGCGCATCGCCTACAAGCAGAACAACTTCTTTCTGAAGATCAGGCCAGATTACGTGAGTTGAACATTACTCAACGGACCCCCATCAGGGCTTCCTATATGCCTGTGTTCTGAGGGTGCATTTTGATAGGAGGTTTTCTCATGCTTGGTGTTCGTATGAGTTTCTATATCTACTCGGACTAGTTCACTTTCCATTACTTCCACGGCTTGCTACAATACTAGCAGGTAAACTAAAAGTTTTAAACAGGAATGATATCAAAATGGTAAGTACTCGAGATCCTAGAAATAAAGTGTAATCGAGTTTTGATCACACAATCTTGGAGACTGTTATTTTGTGTGAAGGTGTGAGACAAAGAGATTCTTGGGTCGATCTCACTAAAAAAAATAGAACGGAATCCTTTCGCTCCGTCGCCATTCTAAGTTAGTCTTAATTTCAGACTGGTATCGTTTATGGAATGCCTTCATTCGAAAACAATCTACCCTTTCATTTGATAGACCGTTTGGAAATAATAGCCAGAGCTAGATCACATTCCTACAACAAAGTCAAGCTAACAGTTAGTGAAACTATCCGCTTCTAACTTATACCTTATGCGTACTCATCGCAATACCAAAAAGGGCTGAATAAAAATTAATATCATCAGCTAATTTTAATGTCAATCTAAGCTCTTTTGTGTGGGTGCGAATGCAGTGTATATATGCGTGTAGGTGCGGGCGTAGGTTTATAAGTCAAGGTGCGAAACTACAAGTCGTAACCCTGAGTAGCTGCAGAAGAGCGCACCTTGATTTCAGGATCCTCAATGCTTAGTTACCCAAGAAAAGGCATGACTACGATCAAATGTATAGAGTGAATGTGAATATGGTTTACACTATTACTGGTCCTTTTAGTTGTGTCATCTCCCCTCCTCTCGTTCCTTCGGGCTATCAAGCAAGCCTAACTGCTTTCGACATGATTAACTCTCGAGCTCATCAGTAAT